CACATTTTTTTTTTTTTTTTTTTTACTTCCCTTTCCCTTGCCTCTCCCTCCTCCTTCAACTTCTAGATACCCTGTTATTACCTGTGACAAGTTCCCTGCAGCCTCCCCCCACTAGATCTTTGTCACAAGTCCCTTCTGTATCGATCACAGAACAAGTTTTGTGTGATTCTCATACTGGAGATTTCTGAGACAGTTTCAGCCACTGGTTCCATTGAAACGCTGTCTGCCTGATGACTGGTGCTGGGAATGTCATGTCTTAAAATAAACCCACCTAACATGGCACCGTAGGGGGATGGACAGGTTTCCTTGGAACTTATTACCAAAAACAAGAGCTAGAATTACCCCATATTAAATATGATTTTCTGAGCAAAGGATGACTCAGTTTTGGTGGTAAGGAGTTTGCCAAAATAGTTCTACGGCGATAGTAAAATGTGATTATTTTTTCAGCATGCTGATTTCAGAGCATTTTTCAATTCATACTTTTATTTTTCTGAAAATTTATTTGCAACATTTTGTTTGCATTGTATCGTTAGATATCCACAGCACCATCACTACCAGAAAGAGATGAGCTGAAACACTAGTGTGATACGTGTTACACTGACACCAGGAAGAAAGTTCGGTTGAGGATAAATATCATAAGTAATCAGTCCCTTAGTCTTTCAAGCTGCGATGACTTTTATGTACACATAATATTTATGTCTGTTGGTGCTTAAATATTAATTTCGGACACAAGGACTTTCCATATCTAAATCTAATTTGATTTTTTTTTAATATACAAATTTGCTAATTCTTTTTAGATGGCATTGCATTTCTCAGGAAGTTCCTTCTTCCATAGAATTTGTTTATATGTTTCTTGGAACCCCTGAGTGTTAGCTTTGAACACAATCTCGGGAATCACGTGCTTGCATTTCTTTGTTTTCCAAAAGGACAAACAGATTAAGGAAAAGGAAATGACTTCCCTGAGGCCACTGGGTTGTCATGACTTGAAGCCAATGTTTTGTTCCATATGGACTTTTAAAAACAACAGGTCCCTGAAGCCCCAGCCGACCAGCCCTTAAGTCTGTCATATCACGAAATACTCCAAAATCTGACTGGAAGTAACCTCGTTGTTTTTAATTTCAATATCATAAAAGCTGAGAAATAAAATGTAGCGTTCCGCTGTCCGGCCTGTTCCTGTGAAGTTCAGGAGTGCAGGCAGGGAGAGCAGGGTCAGGGATGCGGGGGTCCCCAAGTCTCCTGGGAGATAGGACTGGCTGAGAAGATCCTGGAGCGAAACCGAGGAAGAGCCCGTGAGTGGCGACTGCCTTTCCAGCCGAGAGCTGGGTGACACTGGAGGGTGAAGCTAACCGGGCTGGCCTTGGGGGCTCGCTCCTGGGCTGCCTGTCCTGCCGGACCTGGGCTTTCCCTGTCCACCATGTCGGTGCCTCATAAGGTGGGCGATGGATGGGGATGGGGAAGCCCGGGAAAGAAAGGAATCCCTTCAGCATAGGTCACAGATCTCCTCATCCTCGTTTAGAACCCATCAAGAAGGTGTTCAGATTTTTATTCATTTCTTTTTAATATTTCAAAACTATCTCTTCAGGTACACCAAAAAAGGGAAAACCTCAAAACTATTGTACGTCATGTATACCAAAGACTCCCCGGAATTATTACTTAGCTTGAGGATTCTGTTACACCCTACTTCATTAGGAAACCATATGCTAAAGATCTCTATCAAGGGGCACACGGCATCTTCTCCAAGCGGATTGGAGCATTAACATTTTTTGCATCAACTTGTCCATAAGGATCTTTGCAACTTCACTTAAGTAGCTCCTCCCCTCTGATACAAAAAGGCAGTGGTGTTCCCTAGGCTTCGTCTATGACCAGGAGGAGAAGGTAGCATCCTCCCTGTGCTTCTGGACATGCGTGGGCTAGGAAGACATGAAAGGGAAAAGTCACACCAAAGCAGGTGTGCTTGCTTCTGTGAGATGAAAACAGGAGAAAACAGGAAAGAACATGAGCGAATGACAGCTAAAACCAAACTGGGGCCAAGAGTTGGACAGGTTCTGGCACAGAAAGAGATGAATTAGAAGAACTATTTGGGGTGTTAACAGCTGAAGTATTTGACTTTAGGAACGGTAAGATTTCTTTCTTTCTAGAGTGGTTGTTAACAGCTTCCCTGGTAAGACCAGCTGGACAAGGAGAATCACAGCATAGTTGTAAAGTTCAGCAAAGAGGATCTGAGGGCTTCACATGGGGACTTCACTTCAGAACTCTTCCAAATAATTGTTTTCTTGGACGTTTCCCAGAGCTTGAGAAACAAGGAAGAAGCAACAGCAACCTAAGATGGATGTGGAGGTGCGTAGGATTTTGGGGACCCCAGTGGATGACGACATGATGCTAGGAAGCAGGCTTTTGACACATATCAACCCTCAAGCCCCGGGGTGAGGAATGCATGCTTGCAAGGGGAGTGTATAGTTCTTCTTATCCTGTGGAAACACAAAACCAGCAGCTGTAAAAAGAGGAGAGTCCACACAGAAAGCGAAAGATGTTTTCGGTGCTGTGGGTTTTTTGAAGCTGGATATTTGACACGTGGTAACAACAAGATGACAGCTTCATCCTAGAGAATCTGAAAGCTTTTCTCTGAATATCTTTTGGGGCAAGGGTAAACATGGCCTCCCCTGGAGCTTCTGAGCGGTTGGAAGCTTTTTGGAGTCTGGGTTTGTTCCAAAGGTAGAGGCCTCTTCCACCCCATCAAAGGTGCCTGCAGGCTCTGTGTAGATGCAGGGCAGGCAGGGGTGGCGTATATTCTCCCTGCACTTGTCCTCCTGATAGTCTTATTCAGAGTGACAATGTATTGCCTTAATCAGGTTAGGGGCCATGATCCTAACATGATGCGATATTTCAAATTAAGCTTTTTATTTTAAAAGTAATTGTGGAATCAGACAAAATTATAAGAAGTAATAGAGAGTAATCTCGTGTACTCTTTACACAGTTGCCGTCTGTGATAGCATTGAGCAAACATGGTATTACGATATCACAACCAAGATACTAGCATTGGTAAAATCTATGGATGTGGTTCAGATTTCAACAGTTTTACTTTTATTCATGTCATTAGTCCTACTAAATTTTGACCACCTGGGTATGTTTGGATATACCCCCTCTCTGTCAAGACACAGAATGATTCTGGCAACATCCAAACCCCTCTAACAGCCACATCCACTTACTTTCCTTGTTCCTCTTCTCTCTCTAATCCCTGGCAGTTACCAATCTGTTCTCTATTTCGATAATTTTGTCTGATCAAGAATGCTATAGAAATAGAATTATGCAGAGTACAAAATTTTGGAATTAGCATTTCTGTTTAGATTTTTCATTAAGTTCCATCTATCTCATTCCATGAGTTGAGATTTCATTCTTTTTTGATCAGCAAATAGTATTGCATAATATAGATAGCCTTTGGCTTGCCTGACCATTTAAAATGGTGTGTGTGTGTGTGTGTGTGTGTGTGTGTGTGTGTGTGTGTGTGTGTGTGTGTGTGTGTGTGTGTGTGTGTGTGTGTGTGTGTGTGTGTGTGTGTGTGTGTGTGCGTGTGATTGATACAGGGGACTGAGTAAGGGCCTCACTCATGCTAGGCAAACATTCTATCACTGAGCTACATCCCCAGCCCTTTTCATTTTGTTTTTGATACAGGCTTTCACTAAGTTTCTCAGGCTAGCCTTGAATTGGGATTCCACTGGCCCCAAACTCCAATGCCGCAGGGATTATAGGCATGTGCCACCATAGCTGGCTAGGAGACTAAGGAGGAAATGAGCTAAAGATTTTTTTTAAAAAATCTATGTATTTTTGAAATTTCATTTATACAAGATCTTAAACGTTGAATGTAAAAGAGAACATTTACTGTTAAGGTGTATGTGTGGCAAAGTATGTATGTGTGTGAGTGTATGTTGTCAGATTTAATGGTTTCAGAGACATTTTTCTGAATCACAGCAGGGGGTACGGTCTCTGATCATTACCCAAAATTAATATGAAATATCACATGAGGAAGAAGTGATGGTCTTTGCACCAGATGAGAACTGTACAGTGCTGCATGAGTATTTCAAATTAACACATTTGCCTTTGTTATCCTGTGCAGATATTCTTCATTTTTTTATGTATTTCCTAATAGAGTATTCTAACCCCATTCTTTAGTTGTCCTGTGCAGTGTATCCAGCCAGACTTCCAAAAAAACTTTAAATGATTATGCTTAGCAGCCACCCTAAAAGAATGTAGCCTTCTTTCTGAATAAACAAAACACCCCTTTTGTAGTGATGTAGTCTTTTCAGCTTGCTTTTAGGTGGAAGAAACCAACTATTAACTAATTACTTTTTATTTTCTTTTTGGTGCTAGGATTCAAACTCAGGGCCTTGCACTTGCCAGGCAGGCACTGCACTACAGAGCTACATCCCTAGCCCAACTAACGAGTTATTTTAACAAGAATAACATCCTCTATTTTCATTAAAAATGCTTTCAAAGCATTATGATTATTTAAATAATACAACCCCACCGTTAATAATTTGTAATGACACAATTATTCACTTTCAGCAGATTTCAAATCTATCCTTTGCCAGTAAACACTAAATGTAAAGGAAATCTACGAACAAAACAAATACTTCTGATTTGAAGATAACTTGTGAAGCTTATCGCATATCTGAACTATCTGTACAGAAATTCTACTCCTCCCAGAAGGAATGACAAAGCCTGAACAAAATGCAAACACATCACAATCAAATCCAGAAACAAATGAGGACTTCCCCCTCGTGTTTCTGCAAGGTTTTCATCTGAATTTGCAAAGCTAAGCAGCTCAGATTCTTTAGAAAAGTCTGACTAAATATTTGGATTTGTGGGTAATTTCTTAACCTGTAAATTTCCAGGTCACCTGTCACAGAAAACAGAATTCTATTTTTAGAACACTCACCTGGACCTTAGTCGCCTCACCTGCCTGGGCTTGTGAGCAATTATGCAAACCTGGGTCACACTCTATATTTAAAAAAAAAAACAAAAAAACAACTTTTAAAAAAGCTTAAATATTTGAGACTACCTTAAACTCTGTTTAAAACAAACGTGTCCATGCATTTTTCTCTTTTGGAATAAAGTAAGTTTGTCTATTCATAGGTATGAAAAAACATACTCTGAACTAGATTACCACTGGGGCCAGGGTGGGGTGGAGGAACACTGATTTTTCTCATATTCTACAAGTTGAGACTGTTACAGCTTGAAAGACAACAATTGCTATGTTCTGTTTTTATAACAGAATCCTTTTGTACATTTGTTTATTTTCAATCTCTGCACCTACGTACTTCTGAGAGAACCTCAAGATAAGACATCAAAGCATTAAAACCACAGGACCTAGACAACCTGGAGGAAACAGAAAGCAGAGATGTACCGGGTGATTATAATCAAATAAGCAAAGTCTTTGGCTTGAAGTTCCCTGATACAGCTCCAAAATAGCAGATAAAAACAATTCTCAACTAGGCAATGGGGCTATAGAGCATGCCTATTTTGTTTTGTTTTGTTAAAAAAGAGAACCTATAGGTCAATCCGGAGTTTATAACATAGATCACTGTTTAAAGCACAAGAGAGTGGCTGAGAACAACATTTTAAAATGTTGCCTCACAAGAGAAAAAAAGTCTGTCCCATAATAATCCTCCATGGAAATCCTTAAATGTTTATTGAGTAAAAGCATATCTGAGGTTCTGCAGACTTGATGATTTGTGGAGGTATGAAAGCTATGAAGTCTACATTTTGGGCTCAATTTTTGTTTACTCCAGAGGTTTCTTCTTCTTCTTCTTCTTTTTTTTTTTCTTCTCTTCTTTCTGGTACCGGGGATCGAACTCAGGACCTTGAGCTTGCGAGGCTGGTGCAATGCCATTGAGCCAAATCCCCGGCCCCCATTTATATATTTTTTACATTTAGAAAGAGACACTGGGGGAGTAGATCCCTACTCCGTTTTCCAGTCACGAAGATTCAAGACCACATTTTTCTCCCTGAAGCATGGAGGAGAAAAAGGGGTAGAAATAAAGAGTAAAAGGGGAAAAAATCTCAGTGATCACTATTTGGAAAGCAGAAAGAAGGTAATAAGAATAACACACCCTTAGGCACTGTTATCCAGGTGTTTATCTTGTCTGATATTTATCTGTCAGTGGTTATAACCATAAGCTACATGCAAGTTTGTGTTTCTTTTCCCAGAATACATTTTATCAGAGGTATTGCCCACATGGCTACAACCTTTACACAAATGTATTCCTGCATTTTCCCTTGTACATAAGTGCTGTCTTAGAATGGTAGAATTACTGGAGGTTTTGATGACTCTTGATGCACCCTGGAAAACATTGACAGACTGAGCATTTAAAAGGATAAGTGCACCGATTTTGCATATTTAAATGTTTATTTCAGAACACGCCTTCTTCAGATTTAGTTCAAGTTTAATTCCTCTGGTTCTTAAAGAGTAGAGCAAAAAAATCTAATGTTTGGAACAACCTTTCTGTATTTTTAGCTAAAAATGTTTCTCTTAGTCATAGAAGATATTAGAAAGAGAAAGCATCACTCAATTTACCTGCTAGGTGTTGGTCTTGTCTTCAATTCGCCAGCTCTGAAGGTATTGACTTGCCACACACACTACACGTGCTTCGTCACACACCGCACGTGTCTTACCCTGCGTGTTTGCATTTAACCATGGCCAAGTTTGAATCTCAAGGCAGCTTCCACCGTCCCCAAACATCCCCCGACTTCCCAGCTGGCAAATGCTCAGAGAACGCGAGATGATTTTTATGTTAGCCTAAGCAAAACAACCAGGAAGATAAATCTGTTGCCACCTCTTACACATGCACACAAGAAAATCACTTGCTGCTTATGAATCAACGTCAACCCTAAACAAGGTTTGCACGTCCTAGACACATACAGGACAGGGACTGGTTCTGGACCACTCAAAGCGGAAGGATTCCGTCTTCGTTCCTGTAAAATGGATGATGTTATATTGCAATCTCAGGAGAGAATAATGTCTAAACAAGCTGCAGATGTTTAATGACGTCACACGCCAGGTGATGGTCACACTGACGATAGCATCAGGATGTGAAATGTAACAGTTAGGGTCACTGTTCGGATGACTTAATCACGGCCGCTTCTCTGCTGGCAGGAGTGAATGTGGAACTTGAGCCCACAGTGTCCCAGAGCTGAAGAGGTCACAGCGTTCATCTGACCTAGGCCCACCGTGTTGATTTCTCTTCTGATTACAAGCAGAACAACTGAAAACAGAAGGCAGAGGCGTGCAGAAGTGATTCTAGTCACCATCTACACAGGAAGGTAAATGTGATTTGCCCTAAAGAATATTGTTTTTCAGATAAAAAACTAGATGTAGGAGTGGGGAAAAATATCAAAGGGAGATAGAAATTCTCCATACTACCATCACTTAAAAATAATGTCTATTGATTTTGTTTTTTCCTTCCTTCTTTAGAAATATGTAGTGAAATTTATGGTCTATAAACACAGGGCGGTGATTCTACAAACTCACTGCACTGAGGAAAGTGATCAAGCTATGCTTCTTTGGTGAAGGAATTTCATGATAACTTCCTGTGATTTAAAAGACGTGATTTTTTTCCATGTTTGGAAAATATTACTGAAAAGTTACATTGTTCTAAGTACTCTTAAGATGAAATAAAACAAACAAAACCCTAGAGAGTAAAAGCAGAAAGAATCCTCAAAGGAGTAGAGCAAAAGCAGCTACCACACCCCAAAGTGGGTTTCTCTTTGTGAAGCCATAGAGGTCTCTCTTGTGCCTGACCAGACGCCAAGAGAAAAGACCACATCCGCAGCTGTGGTCAGGGGTCACCTGTAGGGAGAACACGCAAGCGGGCAGGGCCCCTTTTCAAGCACTGCTTGCTCTTTGTATAAATATATTTGCTTCTCTACCTCCCTCCTGGGTTTCCTCACAGACATTTGTTGGCCCTTGGGTGGTGAAGGGTCACAGAAGCCTGACATTTACTGCTGCTTCTACAGGGTCCCTTGCTCTCCAAGAGGCCCAGCAGCTAACTGATGGCCAGGATTCCAATGAAAGCCGAATCTGTAGTGACCACCCCTCCTTTCTCCTCGTCCAGTGCTGGGCCAGGCGCACCTGGCATCACCTTGGGTAGCTGAAAAAAAGTAAGGTTTGCAAATGATAATGGGATGTGATAGAGAGAAAAAAAAAAGTAACAGTGTTCGAAGCACTGATTTGTCACTCAGATGATTTACGATGCTCATTAGTTTTTTCTACATCAGAGTAAGTGCTTAAGGATCTCTTCATTTTACTCTCTTATCAAGAGTGAATATATAATTCAATTTTGGACTTCAATTAAAATAGCAGCTCATTTTACTTTAATTATTATTTAATTTTTAAAACCTTGTAAAAGTTTAAAACAAAAAAATTTTGTAATCTAATTTTCCCCAAAATAATACCTATACATAGAACAAATAATTAAATAATAATGCCTTTTGTGTTACAAGTTAAGCTAAGTTCGTACTTAAACCCAATTTCTATGGTATAATAGCCCATTATGAGGACCCTGCTAAGAGACATTGTTGCAGAAGAAAAATGTAAAAAGAGGCATTTTTATTTCATCAAAATCAAGTGAAAGAAAAAAACATATCAAGTGATAGAGGTCTTGTTTTGTCATATGGGGAACTGTGGCAGTATTTCATGTAATTATTGTGGACTAAAGACTTCTCTTAATGGCACAATAATTACATATCTGTGACACAATCATTCTCTTCTTTTTGGGTAAAGTCACTTGTCATCTCAGTAGCATTTTCGTTGAAGTCAGGCAGGAAAGTTTACTGTGTCAGGAAATAATCATAGTTTGCTCTGGTGGTCTGTAGTTCTTAATGACACACTGGATATCATGTAGTAATAAATGCTTTCTTAATAAGTGAAGAAAAAAGTGTGTGGAAACCAGCTATTAATTTGGTATGGTGTGGCTTAGCTAATGTAACTTGCTATTCCATTAATATTGTATCATTGCTCGCCAAGCAAAAGTACAAGAGTTACGAATATCCTGCTTTATAAATTACTTTTTTTTCAGCTTTAATTGAGTTTATTGGTACATTTTAGGGATACAGTGCAGTTACATTCATTGTATAAATTACTTTTGAAGGGAGAGAGAGAGAGAGAGAGAGAGAGAGAGAGAGAGAGAGAATGCTGTCTAGATTTCCACTGTTCATGAAACGTCTTCAGAATACTTATGTACAGATATTTCTTGTTTCCTTGTTTAATGACCTACCTGCTTGGATTTATGATCAAGGCACACTGTTCATATTCATGATCCGCACTCGGACTTATGACTCACATTTGAACTTAGGATGCAGGAATGTGAGAGTTGCCTTATGGTGGCTTCTTCCACAGTACAGCACTTTGGTTTTTGCTGACTGCATGTACACTATGGTACTGTAGTTTTAGTCCTGTCAGACACTGGAGTACTGCGCCTAAGAGTTATGCAGATAATACAAGCAAAGTCATCCACTTGGAGTTTCCTTTGACCACTTCTTTGTTCTGGGTATTGTAATGCACGTGCTACATACAACTCCTCACTTAGTGACCAATCTTCACAAGAGTGCAACTCAGTTGTTGGACAAAGAGTGCTCATGTGTGTGTACATGGGAGGTAGGGAAGTTGAGTTTTATAATTTGAAGCGAATGAAGAAGTAAAACAATAAATAATTCAAGATTAAAAAATGACCGAAGTATGTTTTCCAATGAAGGCTAAGTTTTTTTTAATGCACCTCCCATGATTATAGACTACTTTAACTCTTTTCAAACACTTATATTTAGAAAAATTTCCTATAGGCTTGACTTGTCTCTGTTACACACTTCGTTGCTATGACAGCAACATGATACAATTATTTATTGCCATGACAATCTGCTGTAGGTTTTAAAAATACGTTATCTATTTTTATTAGTGTTGTCAATTGTGTAGGGAAAGGATACTACCACTCCGCCTAATCGACAAAGACCCTAACACAGGCAGCAAGTGGAAATCGTTTCTCCGGAGCGGCAGGACCCAGAACAGGTGGATTCCCTGGCGCTCTCAGTGACACGCGCATAGTCCGTGGACAGCAGCGTCCCGGCCAGCTGCCTGGCTGCAGCCAGCCTTTGCCTAGGGGTGTAAGCTCTGTTTATGTCTCCCACATGGCTTCAGCTCTTCAACTCTGTGTTGGGTAGGAGTCAATGTCAGACTAGAAGCTCAGAGAGGAATCTGTATTTGTGAGGCCTCACAGGTGACACCCAAGGGTGTCTCCGTGGCCGGGCTATGAGAAGCACCCTGCTCCAGGCGGGAAACAGGCCGAAGCTGCTTCTAGGTGGGTGTTATGGGGTCAGCCACTCCTAACTGTGCCCAAACATCTCAGTGCTCCCCACTGTCCTCTTGTCCTTCGCCACCTGCCAGTGCTATGGAAAAATAAGAGAAATAAGAATATTTTTGGTGTTTGGCGACTGATTTATCCAAGAAAGGAGCATGATATTATTTGTATTTAAACCTACACGTGAGCCATCAGCAACCAGCTAGTGAAGTCATCTCGGAAGGTCTGATTGATGTTTCTAAACTATAAGAGAGTTTTGTTTTGTTTTGTTTCTTCTTTTTCATTTTTGTAAACTGATGAGGGAAAGCGAACCATCTTCCTATAATTGAATTTTCCTCACTCTGTCCAAAAGAAAACCATATAGAAATCATTAAGGAATACACGTTGAAAAAATTCAAACTTGTTTTCAAGTGGGCAAATTAAAGTAATGAGTATTTTAAGTGTATTGTTGCTTTTACATTAATGTTGAAGGTTTTTATGGGGACATCTGACATTTAAATTATTGAAGCCCACTAGACAGGATTTTAAAATGATTTATCAAACATGAAGACAAATGCCAGAAATTCTACTTTCAAGGTATATATTCAGTATACAAATGATACAAAATTCAGTACACAAAAGGATCAAAGCTATGTCCAAACGTCACTAAATATTGAGTTAAGTAAGCCATTAAAAGTTTATCATGAACATATTTTAAAAGTCATGATTAGCATATATTTCATGATATAAATACCATCCATGCTGTACTATATGAGGAAAGTGAGTTACAAATCATACTGATGACCACCAGGAAAAAAAAATCACGCCCTATGCATTTGGAAAACAGACCAAACAAACCTCTATGTAAATGTTCACAGTAGGCTCTGATTTTCTGGAGTTTTAAAAGATTTGTGCAGTCCTGTTTTATCTGCATTTTTTAAAAAATGAGCATCCTTTTGCTTTGAAGTGGTGAACCCTCTGACGTACCTTCCTGGCCTGTCTGGGATGGACCCAGGAGGCGTGTGGCAGGTCCCCGGGGACCATCAGTGCAGCTCTACTGGGTTCATCTCAGTGACAAGCAGAGTCATGAAAAATTTGTATTTCTGCAACAGCTTTCAGCTAATGAGCTGGGAAGCTTAGGTATGATCAGGTATCTATCAAGACTACAATCTTGGGTGGTTTTTATGAGTAATCAAAGTCGAAGAAGCATCTTGGGTCAAATGCAATTACTGGATTTATTTTGAATTTCTAAGAGGAATATTTTAAAACTCCTTTGAATGGACTAAGAGGATTAATGAGGGGCTTCCTTGTTTTCCTGCATCCGTCTATCCATCCATTGTACCACTTTTATTATTTGAAGAGAAGAGAACAAAATGTACATTTAATTATTAATTTTCAGTGAAAGAATGTTTTTTTTTTTCATTGAGAAAACAATTCTAAAGACCCAGTCATAAGATGATAATAGACATAGAAAAGGGGACCTGCTACTGACGAGCTGAAGCCTGGCTTTTTCTTAAGTTACTGGGGAATAAGTTGGCAGTCAAAATAAGAGGACTTTTTTTTTTTGTAAATGTTCAAAATCTGAGCTATAGTACGTACCAATAACCATATTCTTGTTTTGGAGAGGAAAATATTTCATTTAAGCAAAAATATGATTTTTCTTAAAATGTTATAATAATAAAAGTATAAAATATGTTTTTCCCAATATTAGAGCTTAAGTTGGTGTAAGTTATGTATATAATAATATTCAAATATTCATGCTTGGTAAACACACGGATGATGGTGATGGTGATGATGCCATTGGCAAATACCTAATATTTATGATTTTGAAAGGTCTTTGGAACCCAGCACTCCCCACCTCCCTTAAAACTACTCATTTTACTGAAAGGTTCCACAGGAAGTCAATACTTTTCAGGACTTTAGAGTATTGTAGGACAATGCCAATAACCTTGAGATTCAGGTGAGACAACCCTGAAGAGAT